TGTGAAATCCTTATTTAAGCCTAAGAAGGATATCAGCACCTCAAAACCACTTGATATTCTTCATATGGATCTCTGTGGCCCTATGAGAGTGCAAAGTAGAGGAGGAAAAAGATACATTTTTGTGATAGTGGACGATTATTCCAGATTCACTTGGACCCTTTTTCTTAGATCAAAAGATGAGACCTATGAAGTGTTTGTAGCCTTTGTGAAGAAAATTCAAGTGAAGATGGATTCAAAAGTAGCCTGCATAAGATCAGATCATGGAACAGAATTTGACAATGCCAAGTTTGATGATTTTTGCAACGAGAATGGGATTACCCATAACTTCTCAGCCCCCAGAATTCCACAGCAAAGTGGAGTTGTGGAAAGGAAAAATAGAACCCTTGAAGAAATGGCAAGGAAAATGTTGATCGATAGTGGGATTGCGAAGAACTTCTAGGCTGAAGTTGTCAACAATGCCTGCTACTTGGTGAACATGTGCGTGATCAAGTATCTCTTGAACAAAACTCCCTATGAGTTGCTGAATGGAAGGAAGACCAAGCTGACTCACTTAAGAACATTTGGGTGCAAATGCTATGTTCTCAACAATGGAAAAGATCAGCTTGGAAAATTCGATGCCAAGAGTGATGAAAGAATTTTCTTGGGATATTCTTCTCAAAGTAAAGCCTACAAGGTCTACAATAAGCGAACCAATGTGTAGAGGAGAGTGTACATGTAATCTTTGACGAGTCCTACCTTTCCTGTGAGAAAAGCAACAAGGGTGATCAGGATGGAGAGCCCCTGCTAGTTCAAGGTGAAGCCATTGATATGGCAAACGAAAAGGCAGACATGATGAGTCAAGTGAAGGAGTCAGGTGAAGACAATGCAGTTCCTTCCTCATCAGTTGGAGAGGAACCAGGTACCACAATTACAACTACTGAAGCTGAAGAAAGAGTGGTTGATGCAGTTTAGAGTACTCCACATGCTGCTGAGAGAAGAATGCAAGGGAACCAATCAGACTTACCCAGCTTCTCTACAAATGAGGCACAAGTTCCCAACTGGAAACACAAAAGCTCTCATCCTCTTGACAATATACTTACCCCTCTAGATTCAGGAGTACAAACCAGATCAAAGGCCAGAAATTCACTTGCCTCCTTAGCCTTTCTTTCCCAAATAGAACCCAAAAACATCAAGGAAGCCTTAAAAGATGCAGATTGGATCAAAGCCATGCAAGATGAGTTACGTTAGTTCGAAAGGAACAAAGTGTGGCACCTGATACCTCAACCTTCAGATCGAACTATTATAGGAACCAGGTGGGTATTCAGGAACAAGCTTGATGAACATGGAAAAACTACAAGGAACAAGGCAAGGTTAGTAGTTCAAGGCTATAATCAGGAGGAAGGAATTGATTATAATGAGACTTTTGCTCCAGTTGCTCGCATGGAAGCCATCAGAATCCTCATTGCCTTTGCATCACATATGGAATTCACTCTGTTTCAAATGGATGTCAAAAGTGCATTTCTGAATGGATTCCTCAAGGAAGAAGTTTATGTAAAGCAACCTCTAGGCTTTGAATGTCATGAACATCCTGAATATGTGTTCAAATTGGATAAGGCATTGTATGGGTTGAAGCAAGCTGCTTGGTATGAAAGACTGTCAAAGTTTCTCTTAAAAAATGGTTTTACAAGAGGAAAAATAGACAACACCTTGTTCCTGAAGAAACGAGGGAGGAACCTGCTCATCGTTCAGGTATACGTTGATGATATCATTTTTGGGGCAACAGCTGATTCACTGTGTGAAGAATTTTCCAAACTCATGGGAAGTGAGTATGAGATGAGCATGATGGGGTGAATTGAATTTCTTCTTGGGTCTTCAAGTGAAGCAGTTCATAAAGGGTACATTCATTAGTCAACAGAAATACATCAAGGAGCTTCTGAAGAGGTTCGATATGGAAACATCAAAAGTGATTGACACTCCCATTGCCACAGCTACTCGACTGGACATGGATGAATCTGTCTCTCCTATGAATCAAACCATGTATAGAGGCATTATTAGGTCTCTTCTCTACCTCACTGCCAGCAGACCTGATATTGTCTTTAGTGTGGGGCTATGTGCAAGGTTTCAATCAAATCTCAAGGAATCTCATCTGAAGGCTGCCAAGAGAATTTTGAGATATCTTACAGGAACACAGGACCTGGTCCTGTACTACCCTTCAGGTGATAATTTTAATCTTATTGGGTATGCTGATGCTAACTATGCAGGTTATCTTATGGACAGGAAAAGTACTTCTGGAATGGCTCATTTTCTAGGATCATGTCTCATCTCATGGGGCACAAGGAAGCAGAACTCAGTTGCTCTTTCAACAGCTGAAGCAGAATATGTTGCTGCAGTTTCCTACTGTGCTCAGCTCCTATGGATCAAACAACAATTGGAAGATTTTGGTGTGTACACTGATTGTGTGCCTCTTCTATATGACAACACCAGTTCAGTCAACATGGCCAAGAACCCAGTTCAACATAAAAGAACCAAGCACATTGATGTGAGACATCATTTTCTTAGAGACAATGTGGAGAAGGGGCTTATCTGTATGAAGTTTTGTAGTATAGAAGACCAAATTGCAAATATCTTCACCAAAGCACTAAGCAGAGAACATTTTGAGAGAAATAGGCTGAAGCTGGGGCTATTAAGGCCAAATTGAGAACCCGATTCCCACCATTTGGCTATGAAAGTCGCATTCAGGTAACATTAGCTAAAGTGTTTTCCGGCCAAGTCTAACTCACTTCAATACCGTTGCAGGTAGACACACATGATGATTATAGAAACTGCAGAAGCATTGCATGAAAGGTAAAGATTGAGAACTTTTGAAGGACAGGTCAAGAACCAGGTTCTTGTACCACATGTTAGTGGTCTTGTGCTTTTTCATACATATCTTAAAAGGAAACAAAAATTAACTGCCATGTCACCAACCTTTTCAGACCCTGTATGTCATGCCTTTTCATTTAAATCCCTTCACTTCCCTCTGAAACGTTGCAAATCCCCACAAAACTATCACTGTTTCAAAACCGGTTTTTCTCTCCCTCATAATTGTCTTCTCTCCCATTAAAACCCTCTCATCACTTTGAACAATCATCCTTCTCCTTATCTCTGTATTTCGCTTTCTTCAGCTTCTCCCCAGAACTTTCAACCTTCATCTACCATGGCTGAAAATCAAACAATCCTTCCCACAATCTCTGAGAAAACCTTTGACTCCACCGCTCCCAGTGAAATCTCTCTCAACCCCCTTGTCTCCACAAATGTTGAAACTCCCATCATTCCCTTAGACCTTTCTTCTTCTCAAGGTGTTGAGAACTCAGAAACCCCTAAACTTGATAGTCCCTCGTCTCTGTCGCCTGAGGTTTTTGCAGAACACAGCAAAGATGGAGAACAAAGCGAGAATCCACAGACCGAAAAGGTTTCTGAGGTTAGTGTTGCTCAGTCTTCAAGTGCCCCTGTCTCAGAGTCTGTTGCTCCCATGGAATCGTTCGAGAAATGAGTCATAGAAAATGTTTTGACCATCTCCGCTGAGGGTATAATGTATGGGGTCACCTCTTCTGGGCCTGAGTCTCAGAGGAAAGAGCCTTGTTTGTCAGTGGAAGAAGGAGCTGTGGTGCTCTTTGCAAATTCTGCACCAGAAGAAACTACTGGGACCCTTCTTGAAGGACCTGACCCCTCTCCTGAGGAAACATGTCAAGGATCCTCTTCCCAAGTCAGTTTCGAGCCTACTCCTTCTCCTCACTTTGATGTTAAGCCTCTGGAAATTTTGGCTCCTATCATGCAGTCTAGTGATGAAGAAGATAAGGACAATGTGGCTCTAGATGCTTTCATTGCCAGAAGGAGACCAATAGCCACTCCTGAGCCCTCTCCTAAGCGACCTACCACTAGGTTGCAGGAAAATGAGGCTTTTGAGTCTGCCTTGCGGAAGAGTAAAAGGAGTAGCAAGAAGAAGGAGAAGAGGTTGGTGAAAAATGAAGAAGTTGTATGTGACAAGAACATTCCTGTGGTGGAAGTTGATGAGGAAGCAGCAGAGGAACCAAGTTCCTTGGTTAAAAGGTCTCAGAGAAAGAAGCGATCTGCTTCAAAGGAAGGTGTTGCTACGCCAAGTTCAAAGTCAGTGAAAAGTAGTGAGAAATTGAAGCAAGTAATGGATGAACAGTCCTTGTCTGATGAGGATGTCTTAGTAAAGTCAAGTGGAAAGGAAAAATTGAGTGCGAAGTCTGGGAAAAGAAAAGTGGAAACTGTGAGGGAACCAGATTTTGCAAAGAGAGTGAAACGTGAGAGTATGTCTGCTAAGGAACGGTTGAGGTATCAAGAGGTTCTGTCGGGTCGTACTTTTGACCCAGAAATATTTGAAATGGCTGGTATGAGGGAGTTAATAGACATGGTCGAGTTTCAACAGTGGGGCCATCTATTCAAGGTGGATGTGCCCAACACTACTGGAATTTTGACCTATGGCAACGGCTGCAAAACCGTTGCAATAGATATGAAAACCGTTGCTCTAGATCTATTGGAACGGTTTAGGGCCCGTTACATCAGGTCGCGTGCCATCTATTGCAATGGCTTTATGCAACGGTTTAAAAATCGATACGATAGAGTGTTATGGCAACGGACTTATAGCCGCTACGATACCTCAGTCTATTGCAACAGTCATTTTAGGCAGATGCAACGGTTCTTAACCGTTGCTGTATACGTTAATGCAACGGCTATTGGACCTACTGTAACAGTTAAAAATACTATCACGACGTTTTTATGAGACTATAGCAACGGTAAAAAGGCTATTGCAACGGTTATTATGATCTATTGCAACGATTCTTTTAAGGCTATTGCAACGATTCTTTTAAGGCTATTGCAACGGTTATTAAGATCTATTGCAACGATTTCTTAAAGCTATTGCAACGTGCTACTAAAGCAACAATATACACAAATTTATATAAATCACAAGCAGAAACTATCATAAATAAAATCATAATCCAACAATCCAAAACATTTGAAGGTAATATACATAAAAGTAAATTATACAATTGTGTTTACAAATGCAAAACTAATATACATAAGATTGCAAAATGTTCGAATGATTTCCGGAACATATGAGGTTTCAACAATAATCAACCAACACTCTAAGTAAAGTCTTCATTGTTTATGTCTACCTTTTGTTCATTTGCTCCACCTACAAAAGATATTTAAAAAAAGTAAGAAAATTTTTAAAAAAAGAATCCGTTTGATGTCAAGCACCAAGATCAGGACCATCTTTCATCATACTATAAGTCAATTGAACGGTACTGATAGTAAAACAGAGATTGAGATAGATATTACAAAACTCACAAATATCAGAATACATAAAATAAAATACAAAAAATAACTACAATTTAACATTTCAAAAATAACTTGATAAAGAACTAGATCTCTCTTAACCAAATGGAGCAATCGGAATATCTTGTCAATAAAATTTCTCAATTCCTCATGGATTTAATATGCTAGGCAGTAAGAAAACATATCATACAACCACATGGACAAGTAGGCAAAGGTGCTAGGCTGGCAAGTTTTCATGTTAAGCAAGAAGTATCACCGCAAATACCAGACACTTGTAAAAGAAAGAGTCCAAACTAATCACAAAGAGTTTCAAACAATAGGACTCGCTAGTCAGGTTTGAAAACAAGAGTTCATACTAATACAAGGAGTTGACCTCATAGATTTTAACCTCCCACAAATTATTAGTTAACTTGGAGATGTTGATTCACACAGGAAACAAACACAAATAAACAGAATATAGATATATTCTGTACAGTAGGTTCACAGGCATCTAAAGATATATTGCAAAATAGAGAGCTAACATGTTCAAGAAAGTGTTCGAACATATTCTTTAAAGTGGTAAGAATTCTACGTAGATATACCAGACAATGAATACATTTAGAATTTTTCTAAAGCCAGATTCACTTGTGCATTTATATATGGATCACAACAGACAAGCAAATTCTATTATTTCAGGTTTCTTCAATGTCTTACAACTATGGCAAAATTACAAGACCACTTTCTATAGAAAAATACACTGCAGATGTTGATTATAATAAAATAAAATAGACCAGTTTCGATAAAAATGTAGGAAAAGAATACATTACAGATGCTACTTTTTAATAAGAAAAATCCTAAGATATGATTTTAAAGTGACACAGTTGTGACTCCTTAAAAAAATTAATTATAAAAACGAAATGAACTAAAATAAGTTCTATCGGGATAATCTGGATACATACTATCAGACATAAAGACAAACAACAGATTTGTAAATATTCATTAGGTTAAAATAGCTAGATAAGAAACCTAACTTAAGTAAATTAGATTCTACACATTATTTTTCAATGAAGTAGTCATAAGAATGTGATCCCAAAACTAAAATGTCTAGAAATTCTTAGAAGAACACGTATTAGCACAGGAAAATACGCATATATCAGTAAAGGACATCAGTCAGACAGGTCCGGAATTAAAATAATACCATCAACAACGTTTTACAATCGCATTGTCAACGCGGAGAAATTGGTAAAACCTTTAATTTGCATAATGATAATTTAAGTAGTAACATTAACTTGGACGAATGTACAGATACTAATTCAATAAATCATCAACATTCATATCACCAAATGAAACCTCTAACAAGATTTGGAATTATAACTTTTCTTCAGCCACATACAAGAAACTGATAAAGAAAGAAAAGCTCTGATCCATGTGTTTGATGGGGAGTCAATTCAAGTTTCATAGGTCTGTTCTGTATTGAACATAGTTCATAATTTAATGGATATATACCTGGGCCTGCTAAGATGGCAGTCGGACTATGGCCAATGCCAAAGCAATCATACTCACTATCTGAAAGCTAAATGAATCCTGCAACTCCATTTGTCTTAGTCCCGAGCAGCAACATTTGGATAAGGTATTCAATACTAGCTATTAGAACTCACATGTAACTGGTGAAGAGTGAGCATAAGTCTAATAATGTACACTTTCACTTTTTCTCTTAGTCTTTATTTCTTCAACTGTGGGCAAAATTTGGTTCAACTTCAAGTGACTCATAGCTTGGTGAGCTTCGAAAAACTTCAGAAAGCTTAAAGCTAGGCACTACATATATTCAGATTAAGATGAAACTTCAATGAATGATTATCTGTAATACAACATGATATTTAGAACTTGTGGTGCGGGGATGAATGTGCAGTAGGAAATAACATAAACTGCTATCTAGAAATAGAAGTATCCATCAAAATTCAAAGAGAAAACACAAGTAGCATGACAACATGAGAAGCTAATTATAAATTGTAAATTGAGAACATGAAACTTAAAATTTCATTATATGTATATTTATAATCCACTAAAGGGTAGACGAAATAACAAATAGAAATAATGATCTCAGATAGTAAGGTCACAATGTTTCATATCATGCAGCACAAGAATTAAATCTAGATCAAAATTTTATAGCAGAACCAATGTTATGAGATAGGCTTGTTATGGAATAACTAAAATTTATAACCAAGAAATGCACAGAACAATATAAAAGGCACCAGAAGTGGAATCACAAGCCACTGATGCTGTCATTTTTCTAATGGTCATGACTCATGAAAGCCTTTCTCCATTATGATAACAACATGACGCAAGTTAATAATGCCCAAACCTATCATCTCATTCCAAGGGAAATCCACGTGCCATGATTGAAATGGCACAGGCGAGAATGAGAACATCATAGTGATGTCGGTACAACATCCATAAAAATATTACCATAAAATTGCTCTTCTTTGTTGGATCTTCATAATCCATGCCTACAATTAAATAAAGCAAGTGTAATTTATAGCTAACAAAAAGAAGGTAGCTGACCGCAGCGCCAATTTTAAAAGCAGCATCACACGCATTAGCAATAAGATAACAGTTGAAAAGTTTCAAGGCCAACTTGAGTTTTCACTGTTATTATGAAATAAAATGATTAGAGATGCATGGTTAGATAACTTCTTATAATGGAACATAGTATATCATTATCATGCCTTACTAATTTTAATATTTGTATAAGCTTTCTTCCCACTTGAAGTACAAATTCTTGACGATTTTTTTAGTATCACATTATTTTTCATGCTATCTACTTGTAGGAGATTTAAATCACAAAGGAACATATCATAGAGGAAATAAGAAGACTAAAATATTAGATTCCCCAAAAGAAAAAATTACTACCAGAAATTTAAATATAACATAAAAGCTTACATTTAAATATCAGATAAAAGCTTACTAAACCCATGCTTTTTCCACATCAAGGTGGGAATTTTGTGGTTGTGATTTTCTCAGAGCAATGGCTCCTTATATAATTTCGTTCTTCATCTTAAGGACTTCTTTGTGGTGGAAAAGATCCAGCTGTAGACTCATTGACAGAGATCTTGCTAAAGTGATATTCATAACAAGGAGAACTTCTAATAAAGAGGCATACACGGAGAGCACATACTATGTTTCTTGTAAGTACTCTTGTTTTATACGTAATCTAATATCTCATGAATAATCTGAGAGCTTAAAAATAGACTCAGCTTCTTGTAAGTACACTTTTTTACATAATATAAAACGCACTAGACAATTCATCTTCAACTATATTGCCCAAATTATCCAACAAATGCAGGCTAGGACAATCTTCCATCCTTATGTCCTGACGGGATTACCATATCTATTCTAAGCTTAGTTCTTGTTATAAACTTATAAAGCCTAGAAAGGAATATTTAATAACTAATGAATGAAAAAGCGTTAGTACGTACAGTAGCATCGACGATCGAAATCCGGAAAAAGATTAAAAGGGGCTTCGGCAAACACATAGATCGGAGCTCAAAACATTGTCTATACCGCACAAGGAGACACTCTTCTCGTAACAAAAATACACGAGTGCCCCAAAAATTTGTTGGCGGAGGAGGATTCAAGAGATTGAGAGAAGGCTTTAACAATTTGAAACCTAGAAAGGCTTAAAATCTAGGAGTAAAGGTGATACAAAGGAATGTGGGTGGATTTGCTTAAAAAATTGAAGCTTTGATTTTCTGGGTTATGCCCATTACATAGATTCATTTCATAAAAGAAGGTTCTTTAGAATTATTTATTACTAGTTTCTGGATTTACTTCCTATGAAAGAAAAAGGATGCCGAAAGCGACCCAGGAGGAGATAAAGACTACAAAGCCAAATATGTAACAATAAAAGTTAGCTAAAAAATAAATGAAGATTCCAATTGGATCTTGCCGGAGGTGGGTGCTTCACTATTGTTTCGATGTGGGTTTAGGGACAAAGCGAATAAGTGAAGAGATGCGCATAACTGGGTTAATTTATTCTGTTCCATGTCTTCGAATTTTGAATCATAAGAGACAGTAGGGTTAATAAACTTTAAAGGAAAATCGGGCGGGTTTAGCGAAAAAAGAAGAGGAAAAACATAGAGGGGAAATAAAACCGTCCCAATAGAAATTTTTTCCAAAGAACTGTTGCCATAGATCCGTATATTGCAACGGTTAAATGGACCGTTCCAATTGACCGTTCTGTGGCAACGGTTCTTATACTAATGCAACGGTCTATTTTTAGAACTGTCCCAATAGGCCCTAGTGTCTTATGCAACGGTTATAACCGTTGCAATAGCATGTCTATAGCAACGATTGTTAAACCGTTGCTTAGGAACTGTTGCAGTAGCCCTGATTTCTAGTAGTGCAATGTCTATGAGGATGAGGTCCAAAGTTTCTATGCAGACCTCTTTCTTGTTAAAACAGATCAAATCTGTGCTTTGGTCAACGGAGTTGATATTGTGTTGGATGTTGCTCTGCTTGGGGACATTCTTAAGGTCCCTGCTGATGGTATGTCTTCTGTGAAGAATATGCGTGGGTCAAATTTTAAGAATGCTATTGTGAAGGAAGGTGCAGTCCAGCGGGGGGAACGGGTACACAAGAAAGCTCTGCTTCCTGTTTATCAGCTGTTGTTTGAGTTGGTTAACAAGGTTCTTCTACCCCGTGCTGAGAGAAGGTCCATCACTTCCAAGTCTGATTTGTACTTGATGGAAGCACTAGACGGGTTCCGTGCTGTAAGCTTGCCAGCCATCATGATTGAACACATGCAAAAGGTGGCTGCTTTCAAAGATGGGAACCATGGTCTTCCTTATGGATTTCTTCTCACGCATGTCTTCAAGTTCATTGATGTGCCTTTGGGACAGCCCAAGATAGGGACCAAGAAGCAGACCTTCTCTCAAACTACTTTGGAGGAATGCAAATGTGTTGAAAAAGGTGGAGGGGTAGGCAGCACTTCAACAATCTCTCAGCTCATCAATGCTCAAAATATAGCTACCGAGGAGATTCGAAAGTTGAAGGCAAGGAATGCCATACTGGAGAGTCAGCAAGCCTAAGGGGCACCAGGGTCAAATGAGGAGATCGCTCGTCTGACCAAAGAAAATGCTGATCTCTGGCAACAAGTGGAGAACCTGACGGAGAAACTGCTCGCAGAGCAAATGTCGGCGAATGCCCGAATAGATCTCGTTCTCAACACCCTTGCTGCAGCCTCTAAGCCCTCTCCTCCTAGTGTCCCCTAGGCAAACCTTTCAGTGACCAGTTTCTGGATTATCTCTGTTTTTCTTGTTTTTGTTGTTTTTGTTGACTATGGCAGTTGTTTTTGTTTTTCCTTTATGGTACGGATGGAATTTCCTGTACTGATCCTGCTGATAACAGTCCAAATTTTGCCTTTGCTGTAATGGCAAAGGCTTATGTTTTATAAAAACTATCCTCTTTTGCTGTTTAATGCTTATGTTTCTCTGTTTATCTTTTCTATCATGTTGTGTGCACATATGTGGCATGAGTTAACTAGGCTGGACTTCTTTATGCTAATTGCTTGCTTGTGTATTTTTAATGATGCCCAAAGGAGGAAGTATAATTAAAACACGGATCTAATTAAGGGGGAAACATAAAGTCAGGGGGAACTTGTGAAGTTCTTGTTCCTTAATTTGATTTATTTTGCTCTAAACATGTGTTATCAATTTCTAATTCATATAAACTTGAACAAGTAAATATCTTTAGTCATGTAATCCTATTACTTTTAGGATATACTTCTTAAAAATTCATATTACTAATTTGATTTGAAAACGAATTATAATATCCTATTACTAATTTAATTTGAGAATGTATTATATTGTCTAGATCTATTTAGAAAAATGAGAGCCNTTTGAGAATTAGTCTTAAGCATGCTTTATTCTGTTAATACGTGTGCACCCTTTCCCTTTCTCCCCTTATCTGGATTTAATTGCCTATTTTCAAGCATTTATGATTTCCTTTATTACAGAAACTGACCTGTCTCCTTGTTTTCTTTCGTAAACGTCTTTCAATTATTAAATACCGCATTTATCATTTTTAACGTGCAGATACGTGACAACATGCTGTTTATTGTAGCATAAATCATGCTCAACATCATATTCCACTCGTGCGTAATCAATCCTATATCAACGCTTAATGAGTGCTTGCGCCGTCCCATATATCACCCTCTAAATTCGGAAAGACTTATTTGCGGTAAAACTAGTCGATCATCGGTGCAGTCGACGGTTCCGTGCCTTTCCCCCTCAAGTTGTCCACTTGAGAGTACCAGTCTAGACCTCTATAGAAACCTTACTCTGATTAATTGTACATGCATCATGGTCAAACCTAGACGGGTTAATGTGTTGTCCACATAATAACCCTTTAAGACAAGCCTCGTCCAAAAGTCCACCGGGTTTTCCATAATCCCAACGGACGCAACCACGATTTTATGCATTAATTTTGGAGAAATAAGTGCCAATATCCTAATCATTGTTGTATAAATAGTCGAATCTGGAGGGGGAAAGGGCCTAGCCATATTTGTTTTGTAGAAGATGAGGCACGAAGTCCCCAGGTTTGGCATGGTCCGTAACATATCACCACTGTTGCTAGATTGGTGGGAGGATCTTCCATCAAGTGATAAAGTCTGATGGAATTGAAGGGAAAAGTGAGGAAGAGAGTCACCGATTGCCAGAACGCCGAAGGAAGCGAAGGAGGACATTTACCAAGGGCATACCTATTGATGAACCTGCACGAACTGGGGAATTTGATCGACGAAGCCAAAAATATCAAGCCTGGAGAAGGTCCTTCTAGGACCAAGTAGATTAGGTTTATTTACTTTTTCAAATGTAATAAGGCCAAGTGCCATCAGTGACTTATCTTATCTTAGTATCATTTTAGATTCATCTATTTTTACATTAGTGAAATGAGGCAATTATTGGCACTGAAATTATCCAAATCAACGTGTCGCTAGGCCTACCTCGGGCACAACGAGGCTCCTAAATTAGGACGTGAATTTACATTCCCGCAATATGTGTTTAAAAACTGCAAGCATTTCAGAATCCTTACTGACTTGTTTAAGTTTTGTTTTTCTTTATTTTATTATTCCCATCCCTTAAGGTTGGTTCGCACATACTGACATCATCAGCATATCACACCAGATATAGAAGCCCTCCTCCTCCTCCTCCTCCGAGTAATCCGAAAAGCAGAGGAAAAGCTAAGATGGATGATTTGAGTGGTATCCGAAAAGAAAATGCTGAGAATATCGAAACTTCAAACGGTCGGAGTACTCCGGCCCAGAATGATTTGGTCCTGCGAATGGAACAAAAAATATTGGAGTTACAAGGAGAACTTGAGCAGGTCCGCAACTTGGAAAACCTCTCCCTCGCCCTAAACGTCCCAGATGTTAACCAGCAAAATGCTCAAAACCCAGCACCTCCTCAAAATACACCAAACCAGCGTCCACAAAATCCTTCCATACACCATCAATACACCACACTACCTCAAAATCCCAATCCTCTACCGGTACCAACTCCTCCACAACACCATCATCAACCAACCCAGTACCCACAAACCACTACCTATCACACTCCCCAGAACATACCACAACCTAATCCCGATCCTCAAAACTCGACCAATGATCACCACTACACCCAAATCCCTAGCACCCACCAAAACAACCCCATATACGTGGAAACCCTACCTCACTCCACTCAACCAATCTCCTATGCACCAGAATCCGCTGAGAAGGACCTGCTCATTAAGAACATGGCCGAGGAGCTCAAGAAGTTGACAAGTCGAGTTCAGGGTGTTGAAGGAGGTAAAGGGATAGAGGGTTTGAACTATGAGGATTTGTGCATACAACCAGATGTGGAACTGCCGAAGGGTTACAAACCTCCCAAGTTCAAAATGTTTGACGGAACGGGTGATCCCAAGGTTCATTTGAGACTTATTGTGACAAGCTCGTGGGGGTCGGAAAAGATGAAAGGATTCGAATGAAGCTCTTCATGAGAAGTCTTACCGGAGATGCCCTGTCCTGGTACATAAGCCAGAATCCTAAGAAATGGGCCAATTGGGTGAGCATGGCATCAGATTTTATGGACCGGTTCAGGTTTAATATGGAGAATGCACCGAATGTCTTCTATATATAGAACCTAAAAAAGAAGCCAACTGAGACTTTCCGCGAGTACGCTACTCGATGGAGGTCGGAAGCAGCCAAGGTCAGACCAGCATTAGACGAGGAACAGATGAACAAGTTCTTTGTCAGGGCACAGGACCCATAGAATTATGAAAGGCTAATGGTTATTGAGAACCATAAGTTCTCCTATATCATCAAACTCGGAGAAAGGATTGAAGAGGGCATTAAAAGCGGGATGGTGACGAATTTTGAGGCACTGTAGGCCACGAACAAAGCATTGCAATCAGGTGGTATATCAAAGAAGAAAGAAATAGGGGCAGTAATGGTGGCTCAAGGTCCAAAATCTCCACTCACATACCAGATACCTCCACTCACATACCAACCCTCACTTCCCAGATATTCCCAACCTACCGCTGCTTACCATACATATAATTCCCAACCATCCTACTTTTAGTCACCTCCAACTCGTCCAAATTACCAAAAACCCCTACCTAATTTTGATCGCAAACCACCTAGACAGTACACCGCCATTGCTGAACCCATCGACCAACTGTACGAAAGGTTGAAGGTTGTTGGCTATGTCACCCATATTCCCGCTGTGGCAATGGAGAATTCATCTCAATGGGTCAATCCGAATAAAACCTTTGCATATCATTCCGGTATGAAAGGGCACACTATTGACGAGTGCCGGACATTGAAAGATAAGATCCAGA